AATTCAATCTTCTATAAAATAGTCACAAAATACCCTTAATCTCTAAAGAACAATAAATACATTAGCTGAAAGCTATGAGATACTCCCACTTCAGAAAATAGAAAATAAAGTTCCCTCAGGTGTTAAAAAGTCTTAACCATAGCTTCAGTCACAATCTGCCAACACATGCCAATAAAGACCAGGTTGGCTATTAATAAGTTGCCAAACAGAACTACTGACCTTTACAGAAGAGTCAACAACAGCTCAACAGCCCATCAACAAATTCTCACAGATTATTATGACATCTCTTAAATACTTCTAACGAGTGTAAGAATAAGTTAAAAATGACTATCTTTCTTCAATTTAATTTGAGAACTCTATTTCTAAAATTCTCTACTATTTTCTCTTAAACACATTTCAATTAACCTATATAATGTACAAGATACAGAAATAAGAATCAAATAATTTAAATGATTAGGATTATCAGAAACATTCCTAAAATTCAAAAGGATTGTTTTTCTTTAAAGAGTAAGCCTACCACTTGCATGAATTTTTTAAATACTATATTTTATATAGCTTTAAATCTCCTGTGTAAAATAAAATGTACTGCCAATTTACTAATAAGCCAGATGAAAGATACTCAAATAAAATTTTCCCCCAAATCGGAAATGTAGATGTTATGATCACTCACATCAAAAGTAACATTTGCTCCTTCCCTTCCTTTAATATTTGCATATCCACCAATCCAGAACAGTTGTACAGTACAACTCCTTCAGGACTCTCAAATTTTGACCTTTTCTGCAAACACGCACCCTCTTATCCTGGATCTTGAAAATCCAAGGATTACTGTTTTCCAAAGTTCATGTAGAAGATTCATAAGAGAAAAACAAGCATAAATATTGGCAAAAGGAAGGAACCACACAGGAGCACAAAGGCAAGAGAGGCATTTGATTCCAAAAAAAAAAAAAAAAATGTTTTTATTACATGCCACCCAAATCAGGCATGGTATGTGGAAGACACTGACCAACACCTGTTGCTGATAAAACTAGGGAAAGTCAGCAGGGAGAGAAAGGTGATTATATGAAAAAGAGTAACAAACTACACAGCTTACTGAGAAACCTCACAAAACTACCTACCCTAATTCAGCCATGCAAGTTACCACATGCCCAGGGAGAGATGAGACAACATGCCTTTTTAAAAAAATGAAATACTGCCTTGCAGTCTAGTATTTGTAGGTTAGGTTTTCTATATGTGCTGAGAACATCTAGCTGCTAGCAAATATAACAGTATGGGCAAAGCAACAGGAGGTTAAGTGATAATATATAAAAAACTTTACAGAGCCAGAAGTTAAACAATGCAATACTGTAGGTGTTTTAAACTTATCTGCAAGGCTGAACTAGATACATAAGGTTTTTTTTTTTCTATTTCTTTCCTTTTCTCATCCAAACCTCTCAAAATTAGCAAACTGAACATGATAATGATACTCTAGTAAACTTTTTATTTCCAAGGACTTTAGGAAAGTATCTTTATAAGTAAACTTTTTGAAATTATATTTGAAAACCTAGAGGGGAAAAAAAATCAGGAAAAAAGTTGAAGACAAATACAGAAAAATAAAAAGGCTCTGCCTTTCTGGTCCATGAATATATAATTATATGGACTGAGAATTAATCTAACTATATGCAATACCAATAGCCAGGGAATATTTTCAAAATTTTCTCTGAAGCCTTTAAAGGAAAAACATCCTTAATTTCCAGAAAAATTTAAAAATACTACTAAAACAAGTTTCCTTTTTTAATTCCTTACCCCATGTTATCTCAGAATATTAAAATAAACTTTCATATTTTCTTTAAATAGCCAAGCTGTCCTAATTCTCCTGTTTTTGAAATGAAATTTCAAAAAGAATAGAGTCTGAGAATAGTATTTAAAAATTCAGAAAAAAGTTTAAACCTATTGTGATTTTTCTATAATGTAAAATCGGCTCCTCAGCAGTTTGCTGGTAATTTTTGAAGTTATGGAATAAGTTACACTCTGTGAAATCAATTAACCAGATATCTTATAGTAGAAAAATAAAGCCTAGTTTTAGTGAAGCGGCAACTGTCTTGGGAACAAGTGATGCCATTTGATAACTAGAAAAATACTCACCTACAGGGTGTCTTGGATTGGTGGATGTGCAAGGTGTAGTAGAAAACAGAAAAACTGTTATAGAGAAAAAAAGACAGTAGGCCAAATTACTGAACCAACCGTTTCAAAATACCTCTGACATGACCAGCACTCTTGCACAAATAAAATGAACGTACACCAGTGTATGTGAATGTTCATTTTGATTCTTTAAACAATATATTTCTGGCCTCTTCTTGTCCCAGACATCATAGTCCCTTATATAACTTTTTTTAAGTTTCTTTATTTAAAAAATATCAAAAACTACGTTCTCTGAATATTAATGATATGAAAGGCAAAAATCAGGCCACTGAAATTAGAAGTATCCATGCAAGGAAGCACTAACAATATAAATTGCACCTATATTTATAAGGGTCCTTATCTCAAAAGCTAAATTTCAAATCAGTACGTTAGATGCCAAATAAAAATGTTCAGTGCATGAAAATTCATTGTATCTTTAAAAAATGAAGAATATACAGCCTGTAACAAGCCATTTTCATTAAAAACTGAAAACAAATAATTTTAAATACAGAGGTACATGAAGCAGAAACCTCCAAGCCAGTACAGCTTTCACTTTCCTAAAAGGGGCTATATGAGAAAAACAACTTTTTGTCATCAATAAATTTCCAGAATTTGTCTTGGTCACATTACAGCACTAAAATTATAAAACACAGGTAAAAGAAAAATCTTGGGGGCTAAATTCGTTCTCAATTTTTATAAAAACTAAAAAGCACTATTTAAATAAGTTTAATTCCTTAAACCATGCTATCAAAACTGTTAAAATAAATAATATGTTTCCATTACTGATAACTTTATTATATTTGTCACTTACTCCATTTATGTTCTATTGACCTAAGATTTACTAAGCATCTCTGTGAAAAGAAGGCACTGTCCGGGATCTGAAGATTCAGGATTCAAGAAATAAAAAGCTCAATTTTTTTACAAGCATATAAAATCAGCCTGTTATAAAACACAACTATACTAGAGTTTCTGAACAATGGATTTAATACAAATCAACATTTCTTGAAAATTAAAAACACCCAAAATCCTTTTCTGATATTTTCGTTGCTAAAAACATCAATAATTTCAGTAAATGTGATACAATTTGGGCCAGGATAATTTAATTTGTTTACAATTCAAAAAAAAATGTGCTATGGTAAAACACAGATGTGTACCCACGTGCACAAACACAAGAGTATCCAAAGTATACACAGACTGTTATGGAGAAACCCAGAAATCCTTTTTCACAAGCAAGAGCATCCAAAGTATACACATAGGTAAGTATATTAATTCCTTAAGGCCACATAACCAAAATAGATTTCCCCTGAGAATTTCCAGATACAATTTCTTTCTAGGGAACAAAAGATACTAAAATTTTCACCCCCCAAAATACCTACTGACCATGTGAAATTACTCATAACACCATATAGTACCCAAACTCCAAAGCTTTGAACAGACCATATTTAAATTTATCAATTCAATCATAACTGTATTAATGAAAAAGATTAAATATAACACACTCATCAATCCCTTTTTTCCTAAATCAGCAGTAGAAATAATACAAGAGGGAAAAAAATACATATGAAAATGTCAATAAGGGGACTCATAGTTGTTGCTATTTTTTTTTTTAAGAGTATTAATAGTTAAGTCTTTTACTAGAGATACTAACATCTCTGACTTTGTTGTAGGGTTCAATAATTACTTGCGAACTTACTGGGACAACCATAAATCTTCCAGGCTACATCAGTTTCCATTCTCCTTCCAGAGCCTTTGGAAGACTATGAAATGCTCAGTAACATACATACACACATGCGCACACACATACACACACAGAGCTACTTTATGAACTCTGGCAATTGTTTCAGTTATAAATGTTGAACTACTGTCCAGTGATCGGTTAAAGTACTATATTTCAAAGTGTGGTTTACTGAAAACCTAGAATAGTTACAACTGGGATGCATGTTTGAAGTGCAGATTTCTGGGCTTATCCCAAATTTCATGAATCAGAATCTCTGGGTGTGGTGCCAGGGAATCAGAAATTTTAATAAGCACCCCCAGGAGATTCTCATGCTCATTAAATTTTAAGAAACAATGAGGGACTTCCCTGGTGGTCCAGCGGCTAAGACTCCACGCTCCCAATGCAGGGGGCCTGGGTTCAACCCCTGGTCAGGGAACTAGATCCCACATGCCGCAACTAGAGTTCCCATGCCACAACTAAAAGATCCCACACACATCAACAAAGATCCTGCATGCCACAACTAAAGACCCGGCGCAGTCAAATAACTAAATAAAGATTTAAAAAAAAAAAGAAAGTAAGAAAGAAACAACGAGAAAACCCTACAGCAGTCACTAACTCCTC